CTCCGTCGGCGAAAAGCGCGGATGACCATGTTGAATGTGCTATGGCTGTGCCATGTCTCTGTGCCATGTCTCGAGCTGCTCGCGCTGCCGGTCTCTTTGAGCATGCTGCTCGCCGTGTAGTACGCCACACAACCCCCTGCCGGCCCCCACCCCGCGGCATCAAACTGCTACTGCTGTGCGGGTACAACTCCATCGTGCTCCTCTGCTTCTGGATGTAGTTTGCTGTTGCTTAAGCGGCTGCTCCTGGTGCTGCTGCTGTTCGAGCAGGGGCTCCGGCTGCCGCTGTTGCCATTCCTGATGGTGATACGATAATAAAATAGTTAACCATATGCCTTCAATATAGGGGCATCTCTAGAGGTGAAAGCATGTACCGCATCCGTTTCTGCATCTGACTCGAATGGGAAGTCATGATGCGCTCAACCACCACCGCCGGTGCCTCGCCACCGTCGGGGCCACCCTGAGTCGCTAGGGCAGTCAGCGTGAGCGCAGAGCACGTGGAAAGTAAGTGTAAAACAAAAGGAATATCTAACTATCAGAGTCAAACTGCAGGTTCGAGACATCTTCCGGAGAAATGGGTGCAGGTAGCTGCAAGTGGACGTCGGTTTAGCTGCTCTGAGAGCCGATGGCACGCTCTTCCTGGCATTGGAAGGTGAACTCACATGTGGTCAATCAATAATCGAGAAATTGCATATGTGGCTGCGGGTTCCTCTGCGTTTGCTGTCCTAGCCGGACCTCTCCTCCCGCCGCCGTTTGTCGTAAGCGATTGGGGTCCCCGGTAAAACCCCAGAGCTGGTGCCCAGCCCCAACAGATGAGAGTTAAACTTCTCTGATGTATCCACCCCCCCCGGTAGCTGTGTGAGAAGAAAGGAAAACTAGTGAGGCGAGGCAGTGTCAGGGACACCTGAGTATAAAAATAGGAAAGTTTGCTGACACCTAGCACGAGACCCGTTGCTAACTAACGTTCCCTTGCCCACTTCCTCGCACAGCTTGCATGTGCAGACTGGCGATAGGGTGTTGCGGGGTCAAATACAGCGCGTAGATGTTCTGCGGGGTCGCATCCCGTATACGACCTTCCAAAACTCACTCAGCTTCACGGGTTCCCGGCAGTTTCACATAGTATTCGCGTTTCCTATGACATATGCGGGTGGTAACCCGTCCCTCTAGAATCTCTGTATCCTCCATGCGTGGCNCGACGGCGTTGCCGTCGTCTCCCCACAACGGCGCGAGAATCGCAGGGATTCCCGAATCAGCTTTAGGATGCCAGCATTAATAGTATGATGGTATCTCCACTCTGAATGTAGGTCAATGCTGTAGGCCCACGGATTGACCGGAGAGCGGACATCAAACGGCCCAACCCGTCGAGTTGCGAACTTTTGGGGCTGCGCACCCTCCTGCGCGCTACAAAGGGCATGTGAATCCACTAGGAACAAGCCATCGGGGTTGAACGTAGCTGTTGAACGTCTTTTGTCGTAATTCCTGGCTTGGCGTTCCGGTGCCTTTCTCATCCATTCCCGCGCTGCTTTGAGCTGTCTGCGGAAGTTAGAGGCGGGCTTCACTTGTGGCTGGCTTCGAACGGCGAGACCCGGCGTTGGATCAACTAGTAGAATTTCTGTATGGACCAGAGACACCGGGGAGCAGCGAGTTGACGAGTGCACTGTAGTGTCATGTTGTGGTAACGAACTTCGTGTGCATGAGAGTGCATGAAGCTTGTCAGCGTCTTCTGGCGTAGCTTCATGCACCGGCGCTAGTTGACGGTTGAGCCTTGCCTTTTCTTAGAAGTTCATCCGCCTGATCGCCCGTATCGCGGAAAAAACGTTGGGCCTGCTTGGGAAATACGTTCGATGCTGTACCTCAATGCTCGAGGTCAGCAAATAAACATGCACTTGGCGGTGATAGGTTGCCTACAAGCAGATACAAAAAAACACCAGTAATTGTTTAGAAAGACAACGCATGCTCCAAATAAAGCTCGTTCTGATTACCTGTGAGGCTGGCTCGCATCCGTAATTGCAGCGGGGTGCGCTGCAACTGCTGTTCGGCGGCCTCTGCCCCGGCAACTCCAGGCCCTGAACTGCTGCGCTCACGATGCCCTGGAGAGAAGCGAAGGGGTCAGCTGCTTTTACGGAACACTTAGCTCAATGCTTCAGAAAGATTCGTCCTTATTGCAGCTCACAACGGCCCTACACTAAAACTGTGGACTGCCGTTACCGGTGCGGTACATTGAGCTTGTAGCTGGTGGCCTACCCAGTTATTTATTACCTCCGCGGAAGCACCTTACTATGACAATTCTCGTTTCTGTTTATCGAGCAGATTGCGACGGAGATCTCATCACCTTCAGCTTGTAGATGTAACGATAGTGCTTATCGTTCCAAATTCGATAATTACCACAACCATATTTTACACATACCAAAAAGGCACACAGACGACACGACATTGGTACTAAAAAGCAGTCTTTCGGCCCCTTATAGGTGAAAATATGCTGTCGGCGATCCTTGAACAGTGTATAGAGCAAGAAGAAGAAGTTTTCTGTACCAGGAACTCTCCCAGAGCTACTGAGAAGGCACGGTACGTTACAACTATTCTTCCAACAGCGTTCCAACCAGCGAAGGCTATGCGGGCATCATCGAACGAAGCGGATTCAATGCAGCACCTGCACGGTTTCGGGAATTTCGCAGAGAATCCGTGAGGCAGGAACTTGGAGAAAAGCTGCTTCGCATGTTTAAATAGAAATAGGGGATGAGGCCGTTGGAGAAGTTATCTTAAGCAGCATGTTTGTCCCGTTGGCGAACAGTATGCACTCCACGTTGTTCAGAGCGAGCCTCTGTAGGCTGCCCTGTCGCAGCCCACGTTACAACAGCTAGCGCCGGGAGCTCCGCTTTCCGAGCTGCCCAGGATGGTTAAACTGGCAGCGGACGCCTCCCGATACCTGAGCGAAGACGACCCCATCGCAAAGACCTACAGATGATGGGCAACGGAACTCACAGGCGGTCCCCACAGGATTCCCGTTGGCTCATGAAAAGCTGTCACCCCTTTACAGGCATACTCGAGTAGTTTCTAGGGTACAGCAGCCGACTCGAGTAGGGTCTCGCGATCCTTGCCTGCACACATTAGGCCCGCACGACAGTTTCTGGGGCCCCCTGTTAGAACAGCTTGTGGGGACACTTATTTTGTATGGAGCGCGCCAAAAGCAGATACAGCCATCTCTCAGATCGAAGGGCGGAACTGCGAGTGTTGCTGGACGGCGCTATCCAACTCCTTCACCGGAAAAGGTATTCTTTTTGCAAGATTGCGCAGATGCAGTGCAGAAAAAGCCCCGCATTAGAAGAAAGGAAGCTAAATTGCAGGGTGCAACGCATCCGGCAGCCAGTTCTGATTCGATATCTGCAGCTCGTATATAAGGGAATCCTTTAGGCTTGTTGACATGCTATACTGGGGAAGAATTGAGACTAATGCGCGAAACCGCTGGGAGGGTCCCTCTAGGTAGTGGCACCCAAAATTCAAGAAAAAACACGCACGAAACGCACATTCAGCACAACGGGTCAAATTAATATGGGATCATTAGGGGCTCTCAAGGTCTGCACAGCCCATCCAGGCCACGAGTGTTTCAGCCAATGCGACAGAGGGTACACCCAACTACTCGCATGTTAGCCTCGCAGTGGTAAAGCATGTAGATATTTTAAGGCCCTTCAGGAAAAGAATTGCATTACCCCTGCAGAAATTCGCTATGAATGCATACAGGCAAGCCAGTAGGTTGTTTGTAAGACCATCGCTGACTTTAAACGTGGATAATATATTGCATCAGTGTGGATCGATAGTCAACCTCGTTCTCCGTAAGCTTACGGCTGTTCCTGCCGACCTGCTGCCTTTTCTTTGTCACTAGGCGGCTGCCAAAACGCTTCATCATGCTCGATTAAGCGCTCTGCGNGAAGCGGGATCATGAAAGGAGGCTCCCTAATTTGGTCAATCGTCTTTACTCAGGCGCAGTCTATTTACAGGGAGTGTGTCCGCTTCAAGAAGACGTAACCGCATGTAAGCGCGCTTAAGAGGGACATTTTAAAGCTTCGAGACAGGCATGGTAGTTTAGAATATAGGCTATGCAATTTTCGATGAAGGACGAATCCGACTTTTCGGGAAGGAGCAGAGAGTCCTGAGCGAGGTATTCCGTGCCCCAATCCACTGCTGCTAACTCCAGCTCGTCACTACCCACCTAGAGAACAGTGCCCCCATGCGGTGTGATACCCTGCATAGTCAACATTCTAAATTCGTACGCTATGCCTGGTAAAACGCAATGTACTGATGCACCACAAACATGAAACCTCATGAGCGAACTCTGCCTGTGTAGCAGTCAACAAAAACATGTCGCCATAGACTGGTTTGGACTGCGTCCCTCGGTTTGCTGGCATAAGGTTCGAGCTCTCCAAAGAGCTGAACATGCAGTGCAGCAATTCGCCGTAGACAGGAAATAGCTCCATGCAAATTGTGTATAGTCCTTTCGTGGCCACAAGGTGTCGTTTCCTCATCTAAAGCGCCCTATAGAAGCTGTCGTGTGCTTGCCCGAGCATAACTCGTGTAGATGGACATATAAAACGGCCTGATACGGGCAGTGGCTGCCCTTGTTGCGCATTTTTCGCAAATCTTGCAGTGCTGGAGAGTCCGGTGCCATAACGCACATTAGGCTCCTTTGTTTCCACACAACAGAATGCTGTATACGACGTTCACGGTTTGGCACTGTTTTCGTTCCATTCGACGTCCAAAGAAAACGCATATTCACAGTCTACGAGAAAAAGCAATCCACCTCGGACGCACGCCAGGTACTGCAGATCAGTGTGCAGCTCCCACTGCGAAGCAGTGGATGTCCGCTATTTCGGATTAGAAGTGGCGGACCCAGCGCCACCTGAGGTGCACTTGCCGCAGCAAGACTACGTGTGCGCCCTAGGCACCGCTACCTTCTCAGCTGTTATTAGTTGAGATGCTCAAACAAGACGCTCGCGGCAGTTGCTTGCTCAGACTTCTTTGGCTGCTTGGCCCCTCGAAAGCGCCGCTTGTCCCTCAGCTCCATCAACCCACGCTGAACCAACTGTCGGTAGAAAAAGGCAACGCAACCGCGGATACCAGCCGAATATCTGCGCTGCTGCAACTCTGTCGCGCGCTGCCGCCGCAAGCGCCAGCGTGTATACTGGGAGTCCCGAACGCAGCAGCACGTTTGCCAGATACCGAGCTATCTCAGCTGCTGCATGCTGCTGCCTGTTCCAGTTGCTGCACAGTGGGGGCACTAGAGATGCAGTGCATGTCCAGGATTGCCTGCAAGCCATTTCCAGCACTGCTGCTGCCGATCCAGCCACTTGCAGCTCACCTTGCCAGGCAGGATACAGTTGTTTGTATTTCTCTTCCACAGATGACGAAGAACAATCTAGGATGAGAGGCCTTTTCAGACGCAAAGACAGAGGCGTATCCCCAATGCAAAGCTGCTGTGTAAAGGACAAGACTGCCTCGGAGAAAAGTGGAAGTACCTGAGACGCAGTTGCCGCTGCCCCTGCTGTTGCAGCCCTACATGAGTGTTCGGTCCCTTCCGGCACAGTCTTTGCTGTAGAGGTTGCCAACCCATCTGCCCCAGGCATCTGTTTTTGGGTGTTTTGCTTATGTCGTTGGTCAACCTGATCCAACAAATCGCCCTTGCTGTGGCCCCGCAGCCAAGCCGGAAGGTCCAGAGCTAGAGTCGTCGCCAAGTCAAATAGTCGCAACCACTGCTGCTGTTGGAGTAATGCCGAAGCAGCGGCAGCAACAGTCCTCTCGACTTCCTGATACACCCGAGCTGCTAGAAGGCGATCCACATGGGGTAACTCCAAAGGGACGCGGGACAACCATGGGTTTGTGCTGAAGCTATCATCAGCGCCAGCTTCTGCGGTGCTTTCCGTGATTTGGAAATTCAGATCTTCTGCATGCAATGGACGCCAAAGCAAAGAGCGCAACTGTGAGACCTGATGGCTCTTCCGTCTGGTCCTCCTTTTGTATACGAAATTCTGTTGGCCCTCAGAATGTTGCCCTTCCCGCCGCCGCTGCACTGGGCACCCCACAGGAGCTACGGATGCAGGTTCCGCCCAGAGCTGTTGCTGCTGCGCCTTGCTCCGATTGCAAGCAGACCTTGGGTGGTGCCTTCTCCTAAAAAAAGCCCAGAAAAAATGTAGCAGCTTGCGAACTAGGAGAAAATTTCCCGCTTCTAGAGCAGCACGGAGAAGTGGTAGCACGCGGCGACACCGCACCTGCAAAAACAGAAACACAACTTTCAAGGTGATTGGCTCCACCGTGCAATGGCCCCCTGAGGGGCCCTAGACAGTCCAAACACCCCAATCCAAATAAAAGGGCGAGAAACACCAGGGAACGCCCCGCCAACGACGATACCCCAGCAGTACCTGAAGCGGGCCCTCCGCTGTCTGGATGGGCAGCAAATAAAGCGAAGCTGTCTGGAGAAGGCCGCTTTCCAGGCACTTGGTAAAGAGAGTGATGGGGTCAACAGGAGGCACTTGTCGTTGCAGCAAAGACCCCAGCACTGCAGGTGACACAAGAGGCTCCGTCTTCCGCATGCAGAAAACAAGCGTTGCAACGAACACATGAGGAGACTTCCGCTGCAATAAATGTAATAACCACTGCAAAGCGACGCCTTCTGACGAACTCCCAAGAGCAGCCGCAGCAGCACTTCGCACACTTCCAGCAAGGTCTTCGAGGGAACCCCTGTAGATGCTTCCCCCGCTTGGCACACCAGTAGTGGTAGCAGGGTATGACGGCGGCGGCGCGCTGTTTTTACACGGTTGGAGCTGGAGCCCGCGCAACTTTGCCGCCTTCAAATATGTGGATATGCAACGCATCAATAGTCCAAACTGCGACAATTCCAGCAGATGATGCGCAAAGGCAGATGCGAGTAATTCCCGCACAAGCGCTGAGACAGACATGAAAACCCGTTTGCATGTGCTGCAGTTGTCTTGATTGCTGTCGATGCTCTTGGCGCTTCCTGTGCATTTGGTCAATTCCTTCATAAGCCCTTCAGCAGCTGCATCAAATGCGCGTCCCTTGACAAGCCCAAAATGGGCTCTGGAATTTACAGGAATGCAGGCAACCGCAGCTAGCAGCTGCCGCTGCAGTAGCGCATGCGTGCAGGGCTGTACAAGCAGGCGTATCTGAGTGGCAGGCTGGATTTGTATCGGAAATCCAAGCGCCGTCTCACGGCTGGGTGTACAGGCGACAGCCACTCCGAGCTGAAGATGCAAAGCAAACAGCACGTGGTGTTAGCGATCGCAACAGAGGTGGAAATGCCCGAAGTGTCACGTTCGAACTACCGATCCCCTCGCTCGGATGAATGCCGTCGCTAACAAGAAGCCGCAGGAAAGCTCCAGACAGCTTCACACATGCATGTAGTACAACTGCATCTCATCGTTCCTGACTTTGTAGTTTGCTTACCTCGCCGAGTACTCCAACGATATGAAGGGGCTGCGGCCGAGCCTCTACTGGAAGTACCAAAGCCGAGCGCAAACGTACGTCAGTTACTGCGAGCAAATGCTCCGGAGTTAGATCCGCCGCCTCCGCCGCTGCTGCAGTGCCCGAGTAGTGGAATCCAACGGAGGCCAACAAAAGCCCTGAAGCTGTTTGCGCCCAGAGATGCCATCCAGCTACGCAGCAGCAGCAGACGTCGCAGTCTGCACCACATTAGCCAGCATTTGCCAGTAACATGAAACGTACAATAAATGNCGCAGTACCCCAAGAATATGACAATATCCCTGCTTCGCTCCATAAACAAACGGCATAGCCGCTGCTCAGACAGGCCAAGCATCAGCTAACTTGACGCCTTCATAAGGGCTCCACACTAAAACTGCAGCACACTCGTCTTACTTTCAATACGTGCTTCCCAAAGCTGCGCGGCAACCGCAGGGCCCCTAGTTGCAGGAGAGGAGTCCAAGCCGCTGCCGCCGCAACCCTCCGAATCGACGAAGGATGGCTCTGCACGAAGAGTCGAGGCTGCAAAACCGCCAGAAGCAGTTGGCGCCGCCTCTGTTGTTTCGGACTTTGCTGCGCCAGCTGTCTCTCCTGCTGCTTTTGACTGTGTCGAATACAGTAAAACAGACGATGAGCCGCGGGCATATGCCTCAAGACTGAGCAAAAAGGCAAAGAACCAATGCAGTTAGTATGCGACGACTGCAACAGGTCAGTGAGCTGATGCGACACCGGCATTAACAGCCCCTTGCGCTTCTTTGTTCTCATGTACGGTCACTANAACTGTTTGCGCCCGGCTGCCCAGAAGGTTTGGAAGCGACGACGAACCCGCTGCTCTGGTGTTCCCGTTGCTGGCAACCCACCCGCTTCCTTAGGCTTGCTTCCAGAGACCTCGCAAGAGCGCTGCGATGCACCGCCAGCCTGGTGGGATATCTCTGCTGAGAGCACAGGGAGCGACAGCGGAGCGCACCTTTCTCTCATCAAGTGTTTTGGCGGATCCTGTTCTTGCTGATGTTGGAGCTGCGCCTCGTAGAGGTTGATGTTGCCGCGCCGATTGGAGCGAGCGGGTACAACGGCAGCAGGACGAGGAAAGTCAACAATTCTTTGGAAGGGAAGGGGGCTCAGTGGCACTGCTGTACTGCTCGGCGCTCGAGGACCAACAAAAAGTGACGGTGAAACTGCTGCACTTTCTGCTGATAAATTGCTCCGACTACTACCCGAATGCGTTTCATGGAGGGCTAGGACCGCCGAGCTTCCCTGTACTTTCGTGGTAGAGACAGGCCATGGACGGGTGCTCCTTGCCTTGTACTGTTCAGCGAAAGCAGATTCTGTAGTCCTACTGCTGTTGCTGCTGCCTTCTCTGCTGCAGGGATTTAGCTTATCGTCTGACAGCCTTCGCTCGGGATCTGGGTCTGAACCATTTACGGTGCTTTGCTTGAGCGCAACCTCCTCTAGCACGCGCAGCCCACATGATGCAGGCTCGTCGTGGTGCAGCTCCTCTTGCTGGCGTTCTTCCCGTCCGTCATGCTGTCGTGGAGACACCGTTAGGTGGGCTAAACATGAGCAGCAACAAGCGTACGGGTCCCGCATTCCTTTGCCAGCAAGTTCCTGACTTTGCTGCCTTTGGTGTTGCTGCTGGGCACGAAGAACGCAAAAGCGCGAGGACGGCAGCAAATAGTGTTGTTGCAATTGTGCCTCCGCTCCCACCCAGAGGCCTGTAACGCCCTCCGCTACAACGGTAAACGTATCTACGATGAGGCGGGGAATGCGGTGCNNTCACAGAAATCTGACAAATCAAGCTGCCAGAGGGCTACAGCATCTTGCTGCCGAGGTTGCTGTTGTTGCTGCTGCGGCGACTGCGGTTGCTGCAGCTGGTACGCAGTTAGGATCCCCAGAGCATCGTATATTGCCAAGAGAGGCTCTGTTGTGTTGCCTGCAGCAACGCTCCGCAGGGCAAAAGCTGCGCGGCCGCTACAAAGCATACAGCAATTGCAGCTGCTGTTGCTTTCACGGTGGCATAGACAGCAACGGGATCCAAGAGAGGCTGCTGGGCGAAGAAGCTGTTGCTGCTGCAGGCTCGGCAGCACCGTCGCCGTGTGGGGTCTGGCCGGAAGGCGCTTAATTTCTGCAACGCGGCAACGCAGGTCCAGTCGTTCGCTGCTACTCAGAAACAACACAGCGTAGTGCCACATGGTGGTGCTGCTGCTGCCAGTTCCACGAGATGCTGCGCCCGCGGCAACTGCAGAGAGCTCCCTACTGCCGCTGCCGGTCCCAGCCGCTCCCCACAGACGTGCTGCAGACTGCTGATACTGCTGCTGCTGTTGCTGGAGCCAGGCTGTCTTCTCGTGAATAGTCAGAGGAACATGAGCTGCAAACCTGGAGGGGCAAAAGTCCACGGCTGCAGCTACGGCAGCTTCAAATCTATGAAACACACTAGACGGCAAAAGCCAGCGAGGTGCTGCATCCGGAGCATTTAGCGTGCTGCGCGGCTCTGGTGCTGCTGCAGCAGTGGCTGCCGACTGTGCAGCGTCCGGCTGATTACATGCGGGCGTCGACACGAAGAAGATGTCTTTGGTGTACCAGCCTAAGGGAAGGGTGCCGGTAGGGAGCTGAGCCTCCTGGCTCTCCATGCAGAGAAGCCGCCACCGCCGCTGTAACATAGCAAACAAGGCGAAGCCTCGCCTCCCGGAGACAAGCATATGAGATCCGTCTGGAGACAGTGCCGCCTGCCTCACGGGAAACGCCTTTGCCGTATACAAATTGGGGGGTAACGGGATGAGGGATAAAGCGGCAGACGCCTTCACGTTCCCCAGGAAGCTCCACACAAGCAGGTGTGAGCCTCCAATCATCACCCTGAATGCAACACACCAGCAAGGAGCAGATTCCATGGAGATCGAACTACACTGCAGATAAGCAAATGGCAAGCTGTTCAGACTGCAAGAGGCCAGTTGCCTCACCTGTCAGTCAGATCTGACGCACAGCGGCTCCCACAAACGTCCACAGACGAAGCTGCGACAGCTACCGACGCGCTCCGCACGACGGGCACCTCCAACAACTGCTCTGAAGTAGGGCCTTCAATTTTGGGGTCCACTTCATAGAACATCACGTTTCTGCCAAGTCCGGTGCATTGGCCATCAGGCTGGAGCTGAGCGTTGGCTCCAAGAGATGGACATGCGTGCAGAAGAGAGAGACCGCCCATGATCCAACAGCACAACTGGCCCGAGCCTGCAGCTGACCCTGCAGCAACTGCTGCTGCGGTTGCTGCTATATCCCCCCAAACCTCTCCTGAATACAAAAGCTTCTGCTGCCACGGCCGCTGCGAACACCCAGATGGCCTGCTAATCGGGTGGGGCAAACCCGCTGAAGAAGCCTGAGCGCTCGCTTCTGCAGCAAAGGGGTCAGGAAGCGAGAATAATATGCTCCCCGTATGGCTGAAGACAGCGGTTCCCCCTCTTAACCACCGCACTGAGAGGGCCGCACCGTCTGCTGTCCACTGCAGACTCTGGACACTCCGCGCGCGCAAATAAGGAGCGCCCATTGTGCAAGTTGCACCTGCTGCCGTACGAATTGCCCCTATTGATTCTTGTTGTGCTGCTGCCACCCTGATGTCGTCTGGGACAGTTATCACGTGAAGCAGCTGTGGGAGCAGCGTAAAACCATCGCGCTCAACATCCCTGTGGATGCGCCTAGTTGAGCGTTGCTGCGTTTGTTGCCGATGCGGATCCCGAGAGCTTCGAACTCGTTGCACTGGGTTCCTAGGCCAGATAAGCCTATACACCTCGACAGAGCCATTCCCGAGGCCCACCGCCACGAGACTCCGTTCCCCGTTGAGCGCGCAGCAGCACACTCCTTCTGCCCTAAGCTGAAGCCCCAGCGGTCGCCACGGCCTTAGCATATTAGCGTTGCTGTTTCTGTGACCGGTCTCCGAAGCCGAGTAAGCATTCACAAAACCTTCACGTGCAGAGTGTCCTATTGCTACGCGGCCGTCCCGTCCGGCCCCTATAGAGATGCTCCCACAGCCCCTGCGGCGGCTGGTAGATCTACCACCACTCAACTGGCTGCCCTCGCTGGCTGGACTAGGCGCCTCTGATACATCCCTTCCACCTTCTGCTGCCGCAGCTATTGGAAATTCTGGCTCCAGTCGCTGCAAATGCTGCTGGCTAGCGAAGTGGCCTTTACGGGGTTGCGGAGCCACGCAAGAATCCTTCACTGGATTTTGAATGCCCTCACATTCATCCACCTCAGAATAACCTCTCAGAGGGAAGCGCCAAGCCAACAGCAGGAGCTCCCCTGAGGCTGTGACCACAGCCAAGATATCAAGTCGGCAGTTCAGCTGCAACTGACGCACTCCCCCGCAGCAGCGTGCACGCAGAGCCTCATAATTTGAGAAAGTGTCATCCGTCAGGCTACGCAAGACTGGCCACCTCACCTCCCGCATCTGCTGTGGCAGCTCCAGCGGCCGTGCATTGCGCGGGCCTCTCGTGAGCCGACTGCTCCTCCAACCTAGCGATACACCGTCGTCGCTTGTGTCCCCGCTACTACTGCTGCTGTTGCTGCCTGCAGCCGCAACTGCAACGGTTGCCCTGTCAGCCAGGCTGCTGTCAGGTTTTCCCAAAACCCCACCAAGTGAAGCAACCGAGGCAACGGGATTTCTCCGGCCGTCCCGTACGCCAGTTGTGCTGCGGCCGCTCCTGGATGCTACTGCTTGATTAACAGTAGGGTCGTTCGTGCTGTTGCAAATTGTAGTAATGTTATTGCAGCTGCTCTTGGCGTTCGCCGTGCTGCTGCTGTCGCTGCTGCGTAAAGCGTCTAGATGCAGTTGCAGCTGCGAGGTGCTTCGACGTTGCGGCTCTCTAACACTGAGACTCTTGGCACTTCGGTGACCAGCTCCGACTACGTCGTCACGCGTTGACCGCTTGCTGCTGCACTCGGCAGAGCTGCTGTAGCCCATTGACCGGGGCACCTGTGGCGTACGCAACGTTCGCGAGCGCCTTCTGCTGGTTGAGGCGCTCCCGCTACCCAGTGACGTAGGCAGGGACCATCCAGGGTCCTGGGAAGAGTCCCCACAAAGGAAGACGTCCGGAAGATCGGGCAAGAGCTGTGCATCCTGCGCAGACGCAGGGAGCCGCAAAAGGTCTGTCACTGCAGTGTAACCCTTGGGGTGGTACAGATAAGTAATGAGCCTGCGCCTCCCTAGGCACCTGCAGCGCCTAGAGGAAGGCAGCGTGGCTTCTGCTGGTGCTGACCCGCCGTTTCTGCTGCTACTACGTCGCATTGGCTGGAGTGACGGTCGCTCCAGAAAGCAACAACAGCGACCCCCACAGGCGCTGCAGGGGCAGCCCCAATCGCCAGGAACAGCAGTAGTTCTACTCTGGTACGCTGCCCCTGACCACGCTGCCGTGGTTGCAGCCGTTGGGGCAACCCCAGAAGCTGCAACCGCCGCAAAGGGAGGTCCAGCATTTCCAGGGCATACGCCCGCTCGTTTGGCTACTCGTAGCAGGTCGCTCGTGTAGAGACACCCCAACACCTGCTTCAGCCCTCCCAGGTCGAGCCAAAACAGAGCAGGCTGTCTGCTACAGCCTGCGAGCAGTAGCTGCTGATGCCGCTGCACCGACGAGCAGCAGAGTGCCGAAGGCCTCACTGGGAGGCGCAAAAGCAAGCAGAACGAGACGGACAAAGGGGAAGTATTCGGAGGCCGGTGCGCCGTTATCATTGAAGGCAGCGACCGTATGGCTTCTTCAGCTGTGGAAGCATTCTCTGCTGCTGCTGGCTGGATATGGTCCTCTTCCGCATCACTGCCCTCGGCATCGTCGTCGCTAAAACTGCCAGTGCTCCCCAGACGCCACGCATCAACAGCTGTGGAAAAGCCTTCCGTGAGCCAACTTTCTCCACCGGTTGTTGGCGCGACTCCTGCTACCGCACCCACAGTCGAAGGTTCGTTAAGCCCTTCCGCAGAGGATGCAGCACGCCACCCGCCCGTCTCCGTCCACGTAGGTTTTTGTTGTTGCAGTTCCTGCAACTGCTGCTGCAGCAACCCGCCGCTGTTACTACTGCTGCCTCCAATGGAGAAGATACACACACAAGCCAGC